GCCCATTCTGCCATTGGCATCCATTGTGCTGGCATGTGTCTACTGTTGCATTTTACTCCATGTATTTGGTTTGAAAAATGCAGATTGAAAGGTCTAGTAGACCTAGCCAATTCGGAAGAATGCTCGAGGTTACTGTCCCAACAACATTTTGTAGGCTGCATGATTTCCATCCTAGCTACATATGCTCAATATAATTCCATGGCTTTCTTTTGGAGTACCACTTTCTGCAGTTCACAAAGTTTGAAGAAATATCAGTGCCAGGAAGAATGTCTCCTCTCCAGTTAATTTTTTTCTTGCCCCAAATGGGCACCACCCTGTTCACTTTACTGCCTGTGGGAGAAAGACAAAGAAAACCTGAACAATTTCTATTACAGGGTGAAAGCCAAGGAGAAATCTCGGGTGGAACTGCTGACTGTGGAAAAGCGGGTTAAGAAGTCTCTGTCTTATCTCTCTCCCTCCTCCCTTTCTTTCCTTTCCTCCCCTTTCCCCCTCCCCTGCCTATGTGTACTTCTTTAGCCTAAGTCTGTAGGTGTGGTATGCTGTAAAAACAAATTCCATCTCTGTAAAGCAGAGGTGAGCAACTGCAGATACCCATTTCCATCAGACCATCATGAACTACATACTTACACAATAAGACCAATTTACCTTCGTATCCTTCTGCAGTCCTTCACACAATTGCAACATTTTGTTGTCATTTTGAGAGGAACTGTACACGAAAATAGAGGTGATATGGGATTGCATGGAGTTCTAGGGTGCTTTGTGGGTGCATCTTCACAGGCGAAAATTGCCTGAATATCATCATGCCAGTTTTTGAGAGCTTTGTGAGATTAGTGGGAAATTTCAGGATGACAAAAATGGGGTCTTCACCCTGTAGCCACCTCTTCGGTAAAGAATGGCATGTTTCACGTAGTTATCTTCTTTTGGAGACTATTTTTCTTTTAGTTGGCACCAAAGCAGCAACCAGGAGCATGACAGAAATATTTAAAGACACACTGGATAGTGTCGCATGGCAGGGAAGCATGAGGTTGTGAAGCACATTGAATACCTTTTCCCTCATGTCTCTGAAAAACACCCCAACTAAACCATATGAGCAGGTTGTCATAGGAGAAATATGTTTGTAAGATACTTCTTTTCAGCTCTTTAATCTGGTGGCTTATTTCCTCTTGTATAGAGGAGCCTATGGTGGAAGTCAGATGCTTTGTTCTTAGAATCCTAGAGTTGGAAGATGACACGAGGCCATCCAGTATGTTCCTGTGCCAATCAAAACTAAATCACGTTCTCACAAAATCACAGTGTGTTATGTGTGTGATCTCACCACCATACTACTAAACTTTTAAGCATCTTGGCCTTGGATGCTCCTTATTCTCTCTCCTACAGACTCTGCTCAGACCAGTTCCATCTACTCTTAACCTCTTTATCCAACTTCTTTGCCCTTTTTATAACACTTGCCTTGTGCCATAAAATTTATTTCACTTTTTAAATAAAAGGAAAGAATGAGAAAAACTTGGGATTAAGCCAGGTAAGTAGTTTTTTTAAAAAGTGGGCCTGTGTATGAGGAAAAGGTTTTGTGCATATGGTCATGCAGTAAGATGTGCCATACTCTAGATAGGTACAGTCTGTTCCCTGTCCACTCACTCAGCCAGGGATAAATCATGACTACAGCCAGTCAGCAGAGTTCACTGCAGTCATAATGCAGGCAGATATCCATGCTCCCCAAATGTAATGTCTCTACCAAAGGAAAGGTACGGCCTAATATTAGGGATGCATGACTACATTTCCAAGTATGGTCTTAGCTCTGCTGTATGTGATAGTCACATGAAAGTGATCATGAGCTACTACTGGAAAGGATTAGGATCATACTTGAGTCAGGGGTAAGATCTTGACAAAGACATTCTTGGTGACCCTTAAAATGATTACAAATGCGGTGTTTTGCATTTTGGATCTTGGTAAGGAAATGTTTGCTAACACTTACAGCAGTACAGATGGGGGTTCTGCACTTTGAGGCTTTCCATAAGGAATACATAGCAGCTTTGCTTGTAGACTAGTGAGTCTTTGGCCTTAACCAAATACAGTTGAATTCATATTTTCTTATAAATTTAATGCGTAGTAGTTACATTTCAAAAGTTGCAGATTGTGCTTCTTCATCTTGGCTACTCCACAGCAGCTGCAAATGCACCCTTGTGTGTTTTGTATTTTGTCTCTTTACCCAGTATCATCCTTACATCTTTGACTCCAGCTTTGCAGCGAGTGCCTCTCAACCATTGGGAAAGCAGGGCTGGCAACAAATTTATGTTCCCTTCTTTTGGAATGTTCTCCCTCAGTCTGTGCTCTTGCTCAGAAGAACATGTTGCTCACAAAGAGACTTCTTTTTGTAAAAATAGTTCTGACAGTTGATCTTAGTCTGTGTGACAATTCAAACCGAAGCCATGCAACCATTTGATTTATCTAATACTGTATCCACAAATACCTCATTTCCCTCCCTCACAGAGTTTGTGCGGCAGATAGAGAAGCTAAGCTAACACATCAAACTGCCCCATCTTTTCTAGGTAGTTTCAATCTTTGAAACAGACACTGGCCTTAGGTTTAGTGAAATAAATAGTGTAAACAGATAGACTTCCTGCTTCAACACCCTGTATATACTCATATATAAGTCTAAAGGTTTAGTCCAAAAATTGAGTCCAGTAACCTAGGTTGACTTATCCTAGGTGACAATAACTTATTTTAAAAGGAACCATTTCTGAGTAATGAAAAGCAATAGCTTAGTCCATCCCTTAAAAGAAGTGTCAATCCATCAACTGTCTTCGCCATGGCACTGCTTCTAGCGTTTTAAAATGTTTAAACAGGAAAGTGGCTGCAGCAAGGGCCAGCTACCCCTTGTGATACAGCTATTGCTGTCCATTCTCAGCAGAATGGCCATTGACTTATCAATGAATTGTTTCAAAACCCATAATTTTGGCCCCAAAAGGGAGAGCATTTAAATATTGATGTTCCGGATATGAAGCAAGTTGTAGCTCAGTTTGGAGCTTGAGGGGGTGGGGAATATTGGATATAAATTAGTATCTAGAGCAGTGTTTCTCAACCTTCCTAATGCCATGACCCCTTAATACAGTTCATCATGTTATGGTGATCCCCAACCATAGCATTATTTTCGTTGCTACTCCATAATTATCATTTACGAATTGTTATGTAAATATCTGATTTGCAAATGTATTTTCATTCACTGGACCAAATTTGGCACAAATACCCAATACACCCAAAGTTGAATTCTGGTGGGGTTAGGGGGAGGACTGATTTTGCAATAGGAGAGTTGTAGTTGCTGGGATTTATAGTTCACCTACAATTCAAGAGCACTGTGAACCCCACCAGTGATAGAATTGGGCCAAACTTCCCACACAGAACCCCCCTGCTTTGAAGGGACTCACTGGCGTAAGCCTCCCTCCAGCCTCACATGCTCTCCCTTGCCTGCATATGCACACCACTCTGCCATGCGCCGAGCACACCTGCTCTCCCCTCCCCGTTTGGAGTCTCAGAAAGACCTGTCACCTTGGCTAAGAGGCTGACCAATCACAGCAGAGGAGGGCTTTTGGTGGAAGGATTCGCCATCTAGTTCCAAAAAGGAAGAGGACAGGCGGAGATCTTCAGCCATCTCTATCAAAGAGGTTCCGAAGAGCATCAGAAATACATGTTTTCCGATGGTCTTTGGGGACCCCTCAGAAACCCCCTTGCGACCCCCCCCCCCATGGGTCCCAACCCCCAGGTTGAGAAACGCTGATGTAGAGGTTATTTGGTGTCTTCCTGTGTTCCTCATGAACTCTTTGGAATTTCCATGTGGTTCAATTTCTGGGGTCATACAAAAGTTGTATATTTTGCATCTGATTTTCCTCGTGGACATTTTTCTCTAGTTGAGCATAAGACAACAAAGGGCATAAGTTAAAAATAATTCACTACATAATTGGAGGAGTCTTGGTTTTTTTAAAAAAGTCTCTGTTAAGGCTATAAAAACAATGCCCATGTAGCCTTTTTGAAAATAATGCTGACTTCTTCACTTGAACCAATTTCATCTTTTTTCATATTGGCATCAGGGAACTTCAATGAGGTTAGTTAGATGTCCATCCTGAATTCTAAGAATGGAATAGGTAAGTTTAGTTGTCATGAGTTTTGAGAAGTAGAGATTCTGAAAAAAAAAAGTTTTGAGCAGTGTTCTGATTGAGAGAGCCTACTTTCAGTGTTAAGTAAGTACACTTGCATCTGTTAAGAGTGAGAGAAAAAGAAATGTGTAAGAATCCTAATTTGGGTGTAATGAAATAATTATGCTACTTTGGGGCTTGGAACTGTGCAGTGTTCTAATGAATGGGCATTTATTAGAAAAGCTGTGACTCACTTTCACTTTTTAGGTGAAAAATCCTTTGATTCGCAGACCTTATCATTAAATAAAATTGTGGGTTTTCCTTCTCCTCCTCTTGTAATTAGAGTTTTTATTTGAACTTCAGCACATGGGGTTTCAAAGAAATTGCCAACTAGATGATGTACAGCAGAGAGTCTTCAGGTGTTGATTGCTTTACCATAATTAAGGTGGATGGCTTTTGAGCCTGTGTTTCCAGCTCACTTATTCCCTCTATCTGCTTCCTCAAAAGTTGCCAGTAAATTCCATAGAAATAGCTGTGTTGGTCTATTATACTAAATATTCAGCTGAGAGTATTGTTGCACCTGGGCTAGACCTCATATTCATTTGACAAAGTATGTAGATTCTAAAACAGAATTGACTTATCTTATTCATATAAATTTATCAGTGGTGATAGATAATGACAATTTTTTATTTATCTTATCTATTTATTTACAGTATGTATACACCGCCTTTCCCACCCCTGGGGGGACTCATATTGATATTGAAGGTCTGGTCTTGCCATGTTCATGCACTATGAAGCTGTATTTGTTAGAAATAATCTAAGGTTATCCCGAGATAATGTAACATCCAGATGTTTTCTTTTCTTTTGTTGCAGAAAATAGAAATGACGGTACATATGCACACACAGTTTTGCCTCATATGTTTGCTGACATTTGTCTTTCATCAGTGCCACCATTGCCACAGCCATGGTGCAGAAAAGGGCCAAAGTAATAACCACAATAGTGATCAAATCTCGGACACACCATATCTCCAGAATGGTAGGACAGAACCTGCACCAAATAAGGAGGCTGAAGAGGAGCAAAAATACTATATTGAAAAACTCTTTGAGTGTTATGGTGAAAATGGGAGATTACATTTTTGGGGACTGGAGAAATTGCTGACGAACCTTGGGCTTGGCGAAGTCAAAGTAGTGGAATTAAATCATGAGGACATTGGTCACGATCATGTTTCTCACTTAGATCTCATAGAGGTACAAGAAGGAAAGCATTCTCATTCCCACAGTCATCCCCATCCCCATAGTCACTCAGGTTCAGAAAACCAGACTGTGAATGAAGAGCCTACCAAAAGAAACCAGAAGTGTGACCCTGAAAAAGAAGGAACAGAGCCGTCCCTAAAACCTGGTGGAAAACACACCCGTGGCCATAACAGTCATCACAGGCACCGCCAGCGCTACCGCTGCCACCACTCGCACCATCACCTTGGCCATAATGGCAGCCATCATTCTCATAATGACTCCATTAGTGCTAGTGATCATGGGGAACCAAGTCATGAGCCTTCAACAGAAACCAACACTACTCAAGAACACTGTGAAATAAAACCATGCAAAGAAAAGAAGAGGCGGAGAGACAAGAAGAAGAGCAGTGAGATCCCAGTTGAAGCAACACAGGATTTTACCGCTGATCATGACTCAAATGAACAATACAAACACAACCGTGTTCAAAAAGAAGACCATGTGCATGAAGGGTCTCCCTCGCATGTGCATTTCCATGATAATGACCATTCGGCCTCTCATGGGCACCGAGACCCGCATCCTCCCAGTGGAGCCAGCCATCGGCATGCTAGCAAGCGCGAAGCACCTCATAATCACAATGGCATGAAGAGGCATCTTCACAAGGACCATAACAGACATGAAGATTATCACGAAGAGGTTAGTGCAAACTTGTTAAAACTTGCCTTGCCTTGCCTTGCCTTGCCTTTAAGGAGGTAAGGCCATGTGTGCATAAGCCAACAGTATGTTTAGATCTAAAAATAAAATCGAACCAGCCTGGTGTAGTGGTTGGACTGACCCTAGAGGTGTCAAATCCTTGCTCAGCCATGAAAAGGCCATTGGGTGATCTTGGCAAGTCACGCAGTCTCAATTTCAGAGGAAGGCAAAGGCAAAAACCCCTTTGAACAAATCTTACCTTATGAAGAAGAATGCTAAGAAAAAATGTAGCAAAGATCAAAAAGACATATAATGATCTTCTTTCCAGTCTTTGTTACATATAGAGAATTTTGAAATAACTTGTATAGTATACTCCATTGAAAAGAAGGGAATTCATATTTTTCATTATTCTTCAGTCTGTATCTGCTGTGCTTGATCTTTCTTTCCCTCTTTTCTATTTCCCGTTCTTTCTTTCTTTTTTTTTGTATACTTACAAAACGTTAGTGTTTTTGAAAACTTAATTAAAAGCATTTTTAAAAGAACAAATGTTGCCAAGAAAATCCATGATAAAGTCACCTTGCAGTCCCTATAAAGTGGAAAACTACTTGGAGGCACACAGCAACAAGAAAAAGTTGGGATAGGAGCATGGGGTTGCCATTCTTGAACAAGCTTGAATAGACCCATTTTCATGATTACCCATAGTGGCAAGAGTAATTTCCCAGGAAACAAAAGCAAGAGAGATTTAAAATAATTATCAGTTGCACATTCTGTTGCCTCCAGTTAACAAAATATCTTTTGAGATAGCAAGGTTTTGATTTTATGTATTTATTTGAGCAGCTCTTCTGATAAAGCATAGTATCATCACTACATGAAAATTACCATGTTTTGTCAGTTTGACAGTCATAAGGGCATTCTTCTACCTTCTGTCTGGTAAGATAGGAAGGCTGAAATTTGTTACCATTATCAACCTTCGAGTTGACTGATTTACTGCCACCCTATTATGATTTTTTCTAATATTTATCAGAGGAAGTTTGTCATGGGCTTGCAAGAGTATGTGACTTTTCCAAGGTTATCCAGTAGGTTTCCATGGCTGAGTGGGATTCAAAGACTATTCGCCCACAGTCCTAATCTGACACCATGCTGACTTGCCAAGTTTGAAATACTCAGGAGCTGAATTTTCAGTTCATAATACTCTCAAATGAAGCTGCTTCTGTTTCTTGTCAAATGTAGCAATTTAGTATTTCATCTTCAGAAACGCAATTATAGGTTTGTTCATTTGAAAGAAAACTATGGAAATGATACGTTGTTGTTGCTGCTGTTGTTGTTGTTGTTGTGTGCCTTCAAGTTGTTTCTGACATATGGTAATCCTAAAGCAAATCTGTCATGGGTTTTACTCAGACTGTGAGAGTGTGACTTGCTCAAGGTTACCTGGTAGCATTTCATGGCTAAGCAGGGATTCTGACCCTCGTTTCCAGAGTCGTATGTAGCCCAACACTCAAACCACTGTACCATGAAGAGTTTAAGTTGCATTAAAGAAAAAGAGCCCTCCCCCCACACACAACCCCACAATATGTTCATTTGATTTTCTCTTGTCCTATGTATATTCCTTGGGGTAGGTTTTCTTCCTCTTGTGCAAGTACAGGTCACATTCTTCTGCAGTGCTTGAGTGGCTTTTCTGTAAATTTACCTCTTGACTCCTGTTTGGGCATTTCAACCTTGTGCAGCTAGAATCAAGGGAGGGGAAAAAACATGATAATTCCAATTGGCCTCTTTTAACTATGGTGCATAAGGACTCTGCTTTGTCCCTGTTTCTCTTCATGCACCACAGTTAAAGGAGGCCAGATGTTGGGACCTTTGTGCGTTAGTCACAGGCACCATCCTGAATTCAAAACCTGATTGTTGGCAAGGTTTTAAATTTCACAGTGTGCCCACAGATGCCACCCAGACTCTTTGATTTCATAACAACCTCTGAACCCCATTTTTTTCTGGTGGTCTCAGTCCACCTCCATTTAAATAATGTTCACAGCAATTTTCAAGGTTTTTTTTTTCATTAGAGTATCAGGATCAGTCCCACTTTTCTAAATACAAGTGATGAAGCTTTAAATGTTGTGTATTCCTCTGCTTCTGAATGAAATTTGCTGGTGTTGCTTGTTTAATTTTCTTCTCCTTAACTTGTTTGCAGTGTTTAAATGTCACCCAGCTGCTAAGGCATTATGGTCTTCGCCCCAGTTCTCCCATTTCTCCAAGCTTGTTTACATACCTGTGTCCCGCATTACTGTATCAGATTGACAGGAGACTTTGTATTGAATATTTTGAGGATTTACTGATTGAAGACTTGAATAAAGGCAAAAATGCATCGCTTGGGATCATGAATAAAACAGGTGCATCAGGTAAGAAGTGTGTTGTCAAAAAATCAAGACCAGAAAAAGCATGCATTTGTCGTTATTGTTAATGTAATTTTCTGTTAGAAAGTCAACATGCTGCACAGGTGTCTTTTTTGGCTAGCTGTACATTTTGTTATAGCTTTGAGTATGCAGTGTTTACGACAAGCTCGTACGGTCAGTCTGGCTAGCCAAAGTAAGAGAGAGAGGCCTACTCACTCTATTACCCCATACAAAAGGGCTGGACAAAGTGTGACCAGTGACCCTGCCTGAAGCCTCTCAGCAGTCCCCCAAACCCCTTTCAGCCAACCAATTTGAATAAAATATGCACAATTTTCAGATGTTTTTTGCCCTCAACGGTAGCAAGAAGTGACACAGTGTTAGTTCTGGTCATCATTTTGGCAAAGACTTGTATGACAATAGAAGTATTTGGGTGCACTGTCAGTGGAAGGCCCAACTCATGTGGAGGGTCCTAGTGGGGGAAATCAACCTCCGGCTTCCATACACTTGCCCACCTGACCATAAAGCTGCAAATCTTTCCATTCTTGTCCTTGTCCTCAACTTTCTTCCTCCGGTTCATCTAGAGTAAAACATCTCCTCTTTGGAGCCGTTTTCTGAAGATGTTTAAGGCTAATCTTGCTTTTTGATGGTTTTGTTTTAAAGATAGAGTTTATAAGACTACTCAATAACCCAACAGTCCAAAATGCATTGTTCCCCCTGGGCTCCTTATTCTTCTTGATGTGAAAAGATGCTTGCTCAGATATTCACAGCATTTCCTTTACAGCAGTTAGGAGTAGAGTAGGAGTCATGTGGCCCTTTGAACATTCTTGTATTGAGACTCACAGCACTCCTTCTCTTGGTTGTGCTTTCCAAAAGTATCTGGAAAATACACACCTTCTATCATTGCTTTATAAACTGGCATCTGTTCGTCATGTCTCTCTCCATGTTTGCCTTCTATATTTGAGCAGCTCCTGCCATTGCGATCCATTAGTGAGTTTTTAATCTAAGGCCATAACACATTAGAACAGCTTCTGCCCAATGACTAGCAATTGATGTGAGGTGACTTTGCTTAGCAAATTCCAAGGTTTCCTCTACAGGACACCACAAACTATTTTGGTTTGGCATGATTTCATGTGAAAGATCCAGGCAGTTGACACTTCTTAAATTTGCACCATTCACATGCAGCCCTAACCTATATCCTATCTACTTAAATTAGTGGTTCCCAACATTTTTGACCAGCAATCACTTTGACCAGGGACCACTCTCCAACATTAGTACCAAAAGGGTTACAAATCGGTTTTTTGGTCAACTTTAGAATTTGTTTTGTTTATTTGGGATGTTGATTCAGAAAATTGCATTGGATAGACCGCATCAGCTCTAGTTTCTGATGTAGAACATATGCCATCCAGTAGTCACCATCTGCTCACCCACAGAAAACCATATTTAATAATCTAGAGCTAATGTGATGGTAGTAATCTTTTTTGAGTAGTCAGCCTCTCCCCTCCCAACATCCCAGTTGCCTCAACACTAAAAGAGGGTTTCTCAAGACCAGTCGCTCTCGTTGCCACATGGTTTTGAAGCAACAGTGTAGTAATGGTGAGGCCATGGACCATATTTTCGTTATTAGGGATCACTGGTGGTCCTTTAAGTCCACGGACTTAAAGGATTTGAGTCTACATTTACTGGAAGTCTAATGTTGCTCAGTTACCAGCTCTTGTTACTCTGTAACTTGCAATGTGACTAAATGTTGCATAAAATGATATTGTTATTTAAAAATATTGTGTCTCATTTAAATAATCACAAAGCAAGACTAGCAAATGGCATGTTTTAAACATCAGTTTTCAAAATTCAGGAAATAGAGCACCATCTTGGAAACCTCATCATATGTAATATAACCTTTCCTAGTTGCCAAAATTAAATATAGTCAAACTTTTTCAGTACCACCTAAGATTAGAGGACAGATAGGAAACACACCCATACAAACCCAGTTTACCCTCGAGAGTCTTCAATTGGAAGCTCTTACTTGCAAGGATCATTCATAATGTCCAGTACATGAAAAGATTCTGTAGCCAATTCAGTCAGCCCTTCGTATCCACAGATTCAACCATTTTTATTCTCAGGCCTTTTCATATGATTATCCACAGGTTTCTGTGGAACTGCTGGGTGAGGTGCTTAATGGCATTTTGTTTCTAAAGCTGGGACAATTGCTGTAATCATAGAGAACCTTGGAGGGAATTGCCTTTAGCTTGAAAATAATGGTCTAGCTAATCTAATGGTGAATATTGATTAGTCGTTTTGCAGGCACTTACAAGCGGTGTCAGAAATAAAGCACAAATTGAGTATGTTCAGATATATGTTCTTACTTGTCGGAAAGAATGCCCTGGTGGTAATTATTTTTAATGAACGTGGCATCATTAAGAAAGGTTAACTTGTTGTATATAAATTTCCCATAGTGACACAGCTACTACCTCATTAACGGTACTCAAAGATTCGATAGTACCAAATACTCAATATATGCTGCATATGGTAGCAAATTGTTTGTTTCTGTGGGCAATCTTATTTTTGGAAGGTTTGACCTTAGCTTAATTGCCAGGAGAGTTTATGAAAAAGCTGCTAAGCATTTTCTGCCAATTAAAATGTTGAAACTGTATGTGCGTGTTAAAGCTGCCCACATGCGCGCGTGCGCACTTCCCCAAAAAACCTCTCATCACACATATGCCTTTGAACCAAGTTAATTATAAAGTTTCCACAGATGAGCGCTTCTTTTTAAAGGAGGCCTTTTCTGTCTCAATAATGAGGGAGGGAACTGATGAATAAGTAATCTTGAAGACCTTCAAAGTTTTAAGTGACCCAATTTGAAAAATAAGTGGAATTTGTAACAGTCATGTTGATGCATTTTGCTGGAGAAGCTATCATTATTTAGAACAAATAAAAAAAACAATGCCACTTTGTTGCAGTGATTGAGGAGCAGCTTGCTCTGTCACATTAAACCTCAGGCATAGTACTGTAATTTCAGAGTGATCTGCATGGCAATGTGAAATAATTATCGCATTTTCCAACATTTATTAATTAATGAATTAGTTTCTCTGATAATTTCACCAACAACTCGCAGGAAGTCTTTCTCATGAATATGAAACTACATCCATAAAGACTGAACAGAAAATGAAAGCCAAATGTCCCTGTTTAATTCTCAGTTGGCTTTGCTTCATATGCATCTGTCTCGATGGCAGTATCTCCTTTGATCCATTTCCTCTGTCTTTCTCCTGTTCTCTATCTGTTGCCTCACTGGTGCAGTGTCCATATGTCTTTTATTAGTTCTCTGTCTCCTTATTGCCTTCCCCTGTCATTGCTTCCATCCTTTTTCCACCAGAAAAACTATTGCAGTGATTGGTGCCACGTAAAAATATATCTAGGGAAATGATAGAAGCGTGCAGGGAAGGATGATGGCAACCGTGAAGGGAGGAGAAGATGTCCAGCTCCAAATTCCTGGTTTCCAGTGGAATGACAACTCATGGCACAAAATAATAATAATAAGCATCATCATCTTAGTAATGATAATAATGGTACAACTGACTTGGACAGTCACCTGTCCTATTCAAGCCACCCCTCTCATAATTTCTTGGGTAACACACTCCTTTATAAATCCAGGTTGGTAGATTCTGGATCCAGTTTCCCTCCAGTTGTCCCCTTCTTTTTCCACACTCCTGTTCCTGGTTTGCATGCTTTATGCAACACATCTTTTGATAGATTCAGGAGCATAAGAGACCTCTATGGAAATATGGCATTCTAAAGACTTACGTTGTACTCTTAATGACAGTGTTTTTGAATAAACAGTACCCTTCGCAGCTGCAGAACCGGTCTTTGGGGATTTAGTTAAGCTAAAAAGTCCTAGCTATTAATTTGCCAGTGTATTGACAAAATACTGAAAAACCACACTAGTTGTAGTTCCCTGGAAGAAGAGGAAGTAAAGGGGAAGAGGATTCTTTCCTGGACAAAAAGCTTTTCCGTAAACATACTTTCTTTTATTTTCCTGTCAGCCCATTTCTCAGCTTTCATGATTATATCTTATCTGCTTACTCCAAATAAGCTATTTTGGAGGAAGTAGGGATATGTAAGCTCTGGTCTTTGCCTATTCAGGTGGCTAAATTAAACATAGTTACTTTTTGTCTAAGCTACAGAGGAACTAAAAACTACTGTGATTATTTATGCAAGATAGAGGCCTCCCAAGTTTTTCTAATAGGTTTTGCCTAGGGTCGTTTGCCCCTTGAGAATATTTGAAGGATAAACCATTGTCACATGCTTGGAGCAAAGTTACATGCTCCACGAGACAAATTCCATTGTGTAAAATGGCACTGCTATGTCACATTGCCTCCTTTCCCCTGAATCATGTATGGCCACACATTGTAGTTCACTGCATGGGGGAGAGGTTGACACAGAAAAATACAGTGAGCATCACTTATTCAGAAATCTGAAATGTTCCAAAATCAAAAATTGTCCACATGGATGGCTTTGTTTTTGATAGTTCAGTGTACACAAACTGTTTCATGCACAAAATTATTAAAATGTTGTGCATAAAATTACTTTCAGGCTATGTGTATGAGGTGTATATGAAATAAAATTAATGTTGTACTTAGACTTGGGTCCCATCTCCACGATATGTCATTATGTGCAAATGCAGGTTTTTCAAATTCTGAAAAATTCCAAAATCCAAACACCTTCTGTTCACAAGAATTTTAGATAAGGGATATCTAGCCTGTATCACATTGTGGTAGCAACCACATCAATTTCAACAATTATTTTGGAATCAGTAGAGTGTCCCACTTTGGTTTTCTCTTTCCCTGTTTCAAGTCTTATTGCTTGCATTAAGCATAATGTTTTCAGGAAAAAAATCCACCCTACTTCTGGGAAAAGTCAGTACATAAAAAAGGTATCCAACAAGCTGTAAAATATAAAGGATATAGAAGATCAATTCTGGACAAATTGCTTCTTGTTATCTTTGCTAGTTAGGAACACATAGTTATTGTGAACAAATCTGTAGAGAAAAATGCTGCAAAAATTGTTTTTGAGACATTGAATTCTACCCGTTCCTGTGTCTGAAAGTGTTCTGTTCATAAGGCATCAGCTGTCCATTTGCATTCAGGTCCCAGAGGCCATTAATGGAAAGTTTAAACCTGGTGATTTTGATTCTTTGCTGTTTTAAATTGTGCTCAGTGAAATCATTTGGGAGGAGTTAAATTTACACAAGTGTTAGAACAAGATTATAGTTGGGCATAAGATGTTAACTTTTCCAGTGTGTGATCAAGCCATATAGATTTTTTGAGAAAAGCACCCAGCCCAGTGATGCAGATCATAAAAATTACACAATGAGTCATGATGATTTGAGTTTCTGATCCCAGGTTTATATCTATAATAGAGGGGAAATGCATGTGTATTTTTTTCCTTTGAGCAATAACTGTTTTGTTTTTTTGTTTTATGTTGGTGATTTGAAAACTTCCTGATTAATGTTTTTATTTCTCCTTCCTCTTCCACAGCCTGGATTTGTGGCCTCATTTCTATCACAGTCATTAGCCTGCTGTCCTTGCTAGGTGTGATCTTGATCCCTATAATTAACCAAGGGTGCTTCAAATTTCTCCTCACCTTCCTCGTTGCTCTTGCGGTAGGAACAATGAGTGGAGATGCACTGCTTCACTTGTTGCCACATGTAAGTTCTGTCCCACCCCAGAGCTTGTGCTTTCCATTTCTTTCAGTCTCTAAGTATTATCCACTGTGACGGCTTTGCACCCAAAAGCGTTCGTGAATATATGCAGTTGCTCACCTATCATTGAGGGTTGTTGTTATAATAGAGTACGCAAGTCTTTCATTGAGTACAATTGAGTAATTCAGTGGGAGTATTGAAACACATACTCAAAATACTATAATGTAAATATGTGTAGTATGTATTAAAACAAAAAGGCTTCTGTGACTCAGTTCTGTTTCTGGAGTACTGAATGTTATTTTGAGATTACGATGTGTGCCAGAAGGTATAGCCTAACCACAAAGATAATTCACTTTTGACACTCCTTCGCTTGTTAAGAGTTGAGTGTGGTCTTAGCTTTCTCTGTTTGAAAGCAGTGGGTAGAATCCCCCCCTTCAGAATGTTTACACATTTTACTGTAATCAGCAAACGTATAGATGTGGTTGTTTATCCCTTTTGAATGTTACATTTCTTCAGCATTCAAGCAAACCACCCCTGTTAAAAAATCAAGAACCTGCTGCAGGGTTTCAAACTACAAGTTTATACTCTGTCCTTCTGAAACAATCATAGATGATTACAGAAGATGAATGGCAGATGTACAATGACAAGAGTCAGTTCACTAATTTTTGTGATAGAAGGCAAGGAAAAAGGTTGCTATAGGTATACTGTAGATCAGTGGTTCTCAACCTGTGGGTCCTTAGATGTTTTGGCCTTCAACTCCCAGAAATCCTAACAGCTGGTAAACTGGCTGAGATTTCTGGGGGTTGTAGGCCAAAATACCCGGGGACCCACAGGTTGAGAACCACTGCTGTGGATAAAAAGTCTGCTATGTGTACACTCCTCACTTGGTAAAAGTTTTATTGGGGTTTATAGCTCTACATTGCACTCTCTGTGCTTTAGATGCTAATAGTTGAACAATATTATTGTCAGAAGACCTGTGATCTTAATGTCCAAAGAAAATAAGCCAGCCTTTAAGTTTAAGAAAGTACTACTGTCAACACCCTCAGTACCACAGATTTATATTATTTTTCCAGACCAAGACATTTGGAATGGGAACTTTCAGCTCGGGAGAGTTATAATTTATTGTCTTCTAATTTAGATTTCCCAAAACTCAAATTATTTTTTCATTTAGCTTTCTTCTGTGTATAGACTGTCAGTATGAATTCAAAGCTTTCAAATTCATCAGTTATGCTTGTATTAAAACAGTGCCTCAAGCCTCACAGAGAAAAGGGTGTGCAGTGGGGGGGGGGGGGGCGCTGGGGGAGAAAGGAAAGAGAATTTTGTGTTTCTGTTTAGTTAAAGAGTGCCATGTTGGCTTTACTTCAGGAAATGTTAATGCAGCGTCTTTCTCTTCCCTACCAATTAGTCCCAAGGGGTGCACAACCACAGTAACCATGACGGCCAAGGCCACCACCAGCATGAGCACCAACATCTCCATGGGCATTCCCATGAACACGAGGGACTGGTCCACAGCTTCCTCGAAGAATATGACGCAGTTTTGAAAGGTCTGGTGGCTCTTGGTGGGATTTACCTCCTGTTCATTATTGAACACTGCTTAAGAATGTTCAAGCACTACAACAAACAAAGGGTAGGTTTTTGATATCTCCTATATTCTGGTATTAGGGAGGGAAGTCTTTTATCACTGAGTTTTTAAGTGGCTTATAGAAAGAATTTGCATTGTATTAGTCCATCTAGTAAAACAGTGTTCTGAGAGTAATTCTGGCATTAACCAAGTCTGGGAAAAACAATCCAAAGTGAACTAACAGCAGATTTTTGTGATCCCACAGCAGGTTCTGCAGCATCCCAAAGTGTGTGGTACTTCCTGTAGTGAAAACGTTGTGCTTTTCAAGTACAGTCTGAACTTATCCAGAATTCCAAAATAATCCCAAATCCAAAATTTTCCATACAGGTGCCTGAGACAGTGACACCCTTGCTTTCTGATGGTTCAGTGTGTTCAGACGTTGTTCCATGCACACAGTTATTGAAAATATTGTTTAACATTACCTTCAGTCTACATGTATACGGTGTATATGAAACAAATGAATGTTGTGTTTAGACTTGGGTTCCATCTCCTGAGATAATTCATTGTGTATATGCAGGTATTCCAAAATCTGCAAAAAACCAAAATATGAAACACTCCTGATCACAAACATTTTCGATAAATGGTACTCAACCTATATTTTTAATAACCAAATTCAGTGATTGCAACAGTATATAAAAAGCTCCCCACCCCCAAAACTGGATGATTTGAGAACTGTTGAGTGAAGCAATTCTGTTATTTGGTTAACTTACTTTCCTCAACGATGTAATGTATGTGCTTTTGGAAGTAAACAGAGTCAAAATATTATTTCCTTAGGATTTAAGGTAGAATTTAGGTTGCCCTGCTACCTAAGTATCTGAATGGGGCTATTTTTGTTTTTGTGTTAACAGTGATAGTCATTGGCCCAGAGTGGATAAAACAAGCTTTCTAGTGTAGCGTTGACACTATTAATCTGTGTCATCCACATCTGAGCAAACCATGAACACTTTCACAATATGCAATTAGAATACTTAATTATCTTGCTTTAACGGCCATGGCTGCATCCTGTGGAATCTTCCTAGGGTTTCTGGTTTAGCCAAAGGCATCAAAGAAACTCTGATTGAAAATACTGACCACAGAACAAAACTAAAATCAGATGGGACTAAGTGGGGTCAAAATGCTAAAGTGATCGTTATGTGCTTGGTTGTTGGTAAGGATGTCAAACCAGAGAAACTAAACAGACTCGATTATTTCTCCTTGAGGGTAAAAGCAAGAGGATTGGGACTGTCAGATGGTTAGGCAGCCATAAGATGACTTGATTTGAGAAAAAAGAGTTGCCACCCCAAGCAATTTTGTAGTGATAAATCTGACTGCTGCCATCAGAAATGGTATGTTGGAAGAGGACACTACTACAAGTAATTAGTCCTTACACATAGACAGCTTTTTATATAAGTTGAAAGTGTTGATTTTTAAAGAACACCATTGAAATCTTTAAAGACAGAGAGCTTGTGTTTCTCTGGAAACCAGATTAATCTGTTTAGAACAGTGGTTCCCAACCTTTTCTTGTCCAGGGACCACTTTGACCAGGGACCACTCTCGAACATTAGTACCAAAAGGGTTACAAATCGATTTTTGGTCAACTTTAGATTCAGTTTGGTTATTTGGGGAGCTGATTCAGAAAATTGCATTGGATAGACCACATCAGATCTAGCGTCTGATACAGAACATATGCTATCCAGTAGTCACCATATGCTCACCCACAGAAAACCATTTTTAATAATCAAGAGCTGATGTCGTCTATCTAATGCAATTTTCTGAATCAGCGCCCCAAATAACCTCAGGAATAGGCTTAGAAATGAAGACACCAAGGCACCCCGGCTTCGAGGCGCCACATGGAACTGCTCTACTCAGGGAGGAAGAGGAGAAGCAGTCAGGAGGCTTGTTGTCGCACCTTTCATGGGTAGTCTGCCTCTCTCCTCCCGATATCCCTGTTGCCTCGGCACTATAAGAGGGTTTCATGAGACCAGTCACTCTTGTTGCAATGGTGTAGTAACGGTGAGGTCGCGGACCATATTTTAGTTCTTGGGGACCACTGGTGGACCACAGGTTTGGAACCACTGGTTTAGAAGTTAGAGGTTGATATGGCATGCTTGTCTCATTATTCCTTTTAAAGTAATTTTGACCACTACTTGAGCACATAGATATACAAACATTTAGATGAAAATGCCTTGAAAAAAGTTCCCATCCCTGACTTCGTACTTATTTGTTCTCTTTCCTTAACATTACTAAAGATGTTATGGCAGCTACAATGCTGTTTATTTACTGAAGAAAAACTGGCTGAAGCTTGCACAGAAGACACCACATCTGGAGTGGGATACAGTTCATAGAAATTGGATATATTCATAATAATGTTTTCCTGTACAAGTAGCTATACAAGTTTCCCTAGAGAACAGTAGCAGGAAAGCCAACTCTGTACTCAGAAGGATAAATAACAGCCCAACTTTTGCCTCTGGACATGACTCTTAGATTGTGGAGCAGTTTACTGAGAATGTATATATGAATGAATGTCTATACATACACACACAAGCACACATATTTTACTCATCCTGTGTCCTCAGCTGGGGTGTTGCAGCTGTGCTGGGCACCCTGCGGTGGGCCTGAGCATCATTGTAAGGAGTACAAGTCAGGCTGTGTGTCTGGAAAAGAAAAGACCAGTGGGTGCCATGGATATATGGATGGAAGGCCCTCTTGTTTACAGTCTTGGACAGACAGTTTGTGCATCTAGCACAGTAGCAACATTTCCAAGATGTGCCAGAGAGATAAGTGGGCTCTGTGCTGCGATACTCAAGGTGTTTACTCCACAGACATAGAGATCCCCTGGAAGAAGAACAGAAACACTGTGCTGATCAGTAGATCCTTTGGAGCAACATACTAGAACTTTGGGAATGATAGGCACGAATGTTTTGAATGGAGAACCTCTGCTAAATATATAGCACCTGGTGGGAGACTTGTTGTGAATTGAGGGAATGCACCAGAACAGTGTAGGTGCCTGAACTGACATTCTGTGTCTGAATGATTCTGGCATCATAAATGACTGTGGGCACAGTATCCATAGGTAGCTGTCTCTTTCACCTCTTTCCTCATTAGGATCCTGTCATTACAGGTTAACACTTGACAGCCAGGTCTTTTTTTTTATCTTCTCTTTCAGACTAAGCAGAAATGGTGTAAGAAAAAACAGATGATTGACGAATCGCCAGTTGGGAGGAAACTCTCAGATCATAAACTAAACAGACCTGATGCTGATTGGCTTCAGCTCAAGCCTCTAGCTGGTAACCATTTATTATTAGGTGGCTTCTGCTACATTCTCTCTGTGTTACACCAACACATTTACATACATTGGGCCAACCGTTAATCTGGTTTAGTAGCCTTTTTACACACTTGTGTATAAACCCTCCTCAGTAAATCTGCATTAATTGACAGTAATGAGAGTTAAAGTATTCGTAGGAGTTCCAAGCAGTTCATTAAACTGATTATATAGAGACATTTTGTAGACTTCTTTCATTTTTATATGGCGTGTGTACATGTAGCAGTAGGCACTGTTTTGCTAGAGCTGCAGTTTGGAGGCCCAATTAATTGGAGAGGGGACACTTTTTTTTAATAAAGCCATTTTTTTATCCTCCTAATTCAGGAATAGGCAGACTTCAGGCTTATGGAGGCTATTTTGTTGTATTACTAGGATGCCAAGATCCACCAACCAGAGATATGTACAAATGACATGTAGGAATTAGAGAATTCTGTCCCTAGGAATTTGTATAATGGGTACATAGAAAGGTGTTTGGATCTCCCAGTTCCAGTGACTATCGTGTAAGTGGCCTATAAGAAAAATAAGCAGGAGTTCAGTTAAATAATTTTGCAGCTGCTGCATTCTAGCGGAACGCAAGTACAAGACATAGGAAATAGACTTACTTGATATTTTTGTTTTTTGGTCGTGTCAGGAGTGACTTGAGAAACTGCAAGTCGCTTCTGGTGTGAGAGAATTGGCCGTCTGCAAGGACGTTGCCCAGGGGACGCCGGATGATTTGATGTTTTTATCATCCTTGTGGGAGGCTTCTCTCATGTCCGCATGAGGAGCTGGAGCTGATAGAGGGAGCTCATCCGCCTCTCCCCGGATTCGAACCTGCGACCTGTTGGTCTTCAGTCCTGCCGACACAAGGGTTTAACCCACTGCGCCACCTGGGGCTCCTATTAATTAAAGAGGAATAAAGGAATCCTGGGACAGTTACATAAAAAAGAAAAAAGTGCAAAAAATAGTTTTGAAATGTAAATGCTCCAGAACTAGAAAGAAGCAAGGAAGGGATTAAAAGACTTGATTTGGGGAAAAAATACACAGTAAGTTCAAATATGTATCTTAGGCCCCATCTACACAGCCGCATAATATGGGATAGCAAACAGGTTAGCCTGAGGCATCCAGATGATGTTTCAGGCTAATCCGTTTCAACCCGGAATAAACCTGATTATCCAGGTGTATTTCAGGTTTAAAAGATATCTGCAAAGGTCTGGATCTTATTGAAAACTCTGGACCTTTGCGGTCTCTTGGGATCGCCATTTGGGATCCAGCAGACAGTCTCCACAACCCCTTAATACCAGTTGTCAGGGAACACAAATAAAAGGGGTCTCTTAATTCTTGTGTCCTGCTTGTAGACTTTATGTTGGGGCTTCTGCTTGGCCATAGTGTGAATGGAATACTGAGCTTCTAGTCTTTGGGTCTGATCTGTTCTCCCTCTTTCATCTTCTTAATGCTGTCCCTGCAGCCTTCAACACTTATTTAGGAGCATTGCTTTCTTGAGCAGCTAATGTGCATAATTAGAGTTTGGGGAAAGTATTGGCAATATCTTTACCTTAATTAAAACTCTGTTGCCATTCCGAATTAACATACATGACTTCCTTGGCTCTTTCAACACAGGGGCAGATGATTCTGTTTTATCCGATGATCGGCTTAATGAGACTGAACTAACTGACTTAGATGGGCAGCTGGACTCCCTACCGAAAGCCTTCCTGTCCGTAGAGGAGGAAAACAGTATGCTCCACTCCCATAACGACATCTCCCATGCCGTTCGGGACAACGATCTCCCTGCAGTGGGCTTCCAAAGCAACCATCGAGCGGATAAGAACGCAGTGGGGAAGCACAACCACATCTGGTCACACAAGCACTCCCACCACTCCCATGGACACTGCCATTCTGGGAAGGACCTGAAAGACACTGGCATTGCAAATATAGCCTGGATGGTCATCATGGGAGATGGAATCCACAATTTCAGTGATGGTCTGGCCATTGGTAAGCAAAAGGAAGAATCTTGGGGAGGGTGCATAAAATGGGGTGCTATGACTGCATCAGTCCCTTGACTTGGGAGGCTCCATATAAAAATTTCAAAAATACGATAAACTTCGGAAGGGGGAACAAAGGCATTTCACACAAGGATAAACCTTCTGGCTGCTCGAGCCATTCTATGATAGGTGTTGTTTTAAGGCAGACAGTTGCAAAGGTCATGTGTCTCCTTTATACATTTTTGCTCAGTCGTCTTACCAAATTGCATTGATGTGTTAATGGCATTAATTTTAAAACAAATTGCAGTAGAAGCGTCTGTCTCATTTCCAAGCCAAAGCAGCATGCCTGAAGCTACAGTTCAAAACTTCAAAACTAGATACATGCTCCCTGAGCTCTTGGTTTTAAAGGAAATTGTTGCTTGAGCTAACCTCAGCATGCCCATCTCAATCTACAGATCACGTAGCAGCTCAGCCAAAGAAGTTCTGTTCCCTTCTGTCCTTCCCACCCACCTCAAACAAACAGTGTTATATTTTGTGCCAGAAGTTTTAGGAGCCTTTTGACGTTATGACCTCCAATTAGTTACAGTTATGGAGAAGTATCTTGGTGGGAGGAAAAGAGCTTCTCCTGCCTTTGGGCAAATACTGTCCCAGATTAGTGGGCAAGGAATAAACAACTTTGTGAAGGACCCATCTTCCTCTTCTGTATCTTTCTACATTGCAGTGAGGAGCAAAGTGGAATCTCCTCTTGGGTGTCTCTGTTGGCAGTACAGGCTTTTCTTGACCATAGGACCACCAGAAGCCCTGCCTGTTCTAGTCTCAGATAAGGCTATAGCAAACCATAGGGGCAGGTACTTTAATTCAGTTTCAGAAGTATGTCCGCCAAAGTAATTTGTCCATAAATGTTGTTGTTAGCCCATCTCTGTACACAGACTTATTAAATCTTCTAGAACAGTGACTCCCAGGTGCTTTGGACTTCAACTCCCAGAAGCCACAGCTGTCTTTGTCAGTGATTCTGGGAGACAAAGTCCAGAACAGGGGTCCTAAAACTTTTTAAACAGAGGGCCAAGTCACAGTCCCTCAAACTGTTGGAAGGCCGGATTATAATTTGAAAAAAAAAACATGAATGAATTCCTATGCACATTGCACATATCTTATTTGTAGTGCAAAAAACACTTAAAAACAAAGACAATGATTAAAATGAAGAAGAATTTTAACAAATATAAACTTATTAGTATTTCAATGGGAAGTGTGGGCCTGCTTTTGGTTGATGAGATAGGATTGTTGTTGTTATTGTTGTGTGCTTTCAAGTTGTTTCAGACTTAGGTTGACTCTGAGCGAGGGCCAGGTAAATGATCTTGAAGGGCCGTATTCGGCCCCCGGGCCTTAGTTGGAGGATCCTGGTCCAGAACACTGGGAAAAACAGTTTGGGAAATGGTTTTCTAGCGTCTACAGCTACAAGTGTTGTTTTGTTTGATTAGCCAACTGGGTATATATTTGCCTCTGCTTTAAGCCTCTCCATCTGAGATCAAAAGAAACAAATACCTTGAGCCTTCTTACTTGTCTTGGCTATTCCAGATAGAATATAATAGACAAGAAAGGTTTTCATCATTCAGCTGCTTGTCTTTTCATTTGTATCTCATTGTTTCAAGGCATTGAACGTTTGCCTATGTCTGTAAATATGCTGACATCTGCCCTGAGTCTCTTTGGGGAGATAGGGCAGAATATAAATAAAGTGCTGTTGTTGTTGTTACTAAAAAATATCAGTATGTATAGTGGGTGGGCTTCATTTTGGGTTTTTTTTTTAAGTGCTGTTAACAATATGATATTCTCTTGGCCTACCATATTTCTTCAGGCATGTGCCACAGGGCTGAAGTGTTTAAGATAGCAGCTGGGATACATATAATTTCTGATGTTGGATCAAAGCTGAGTTGTACATTGTGATAACTCTCTTCCATTAAATATTTTCAGATTCATCCAGATTTCAGGTGCAATTCAGTATCTTTTAATGAAGCACACATGTGTATATATGCATGTGTACACACATAGGACAGAAGGTGGAACCATAGGCACTCGACATACAAGCCCAGCTACTATTTTGCAGAGCTTTTGAACAAAGAGGGTTCTATTTATTGTCCCTTTGTTGACCGTTTGCTTCACAGTAGCCAAACTGAAATAAGCATTCTCTGTTTTGTTTTCCCCCAACACAGGAGCAGCTTTCAGCGCTGGATTGACAGGAGGAATCAGCACCTCAGTAGCAGTATTTTGTCATGAGCTTCCCCATGAATTGGGTAATCAGTTAATCTGAAGTCAGCAGTGCATGCTTTGCTGATCTAATGTGGCTGCCATAGCAAAGAAGCTATTGTCTTCCTCCAAAAATATATAGGTTTTATTTGGCAATGGAACTAAAGAGCCACAGCATGTGTATGACCTCCCTGCATTAGACTTCTGAACATTTCAGATTTTGTTGAAGTATAATGAACATGAAAACTACAAATCGCCCCCACCCCTAGAGAGCAGTGTCATGTGAATCCATGCCCAACTATGCAAACCACTCCACTTGTACTACATTATTACACAAAACTATCTTGATATATATATATATATCTCTTTTAGCACAGGACCAATGCAAGAATAGCAGGATTACGTGGCCATCATGGTGTAGCAGTTTACAACTACAGACACTGGAGTTTGATTATGCACTCAGCCATAGAAATCTACTGAGTGACCTTTGGCTTGTCACACACTCTAAGCTTCTGCCATAAGTCAGAAACAACCAAAAAATCACAACAATAAGGAAGAAGACAATCTAATATGAGGGAGCGTGCAGTCAGAAAGTGGCCAGGTTCAAGGATGGCTTTTAGCAAATCTGCCCCTAATTTTAATACAATTGAAGGTGCTCTACCATCTTCACAAAACACATTCACCACTGCTCAGATCATATTGATTTCCCAGCTATCTCTGGTGCAGGAAGCTGTTCCTTATGCTTCTGGTTCAGCCCTCAAGCATCGTACCTGGAGCATGGGGAGCTCTTGCCCATCTATATGCCTCAATATCTCAAACAGGAATGGGAAATATAACCTTACCCTTGGTGCTTTGAAGCTGGAAATTTCTATCACAATTGACTGTGCTAGCAAGGGCAGATGGGATTTGAAATCCTAAAAGGATGTCAGAGATCTGATATTCAGCTGTGGGCCATTCTGCTTCATGTCTCAGGTGATGGGGATGGAGGAAGGAGTCAATGGATCATGTCACTGACTTAAAGCCTGCTAGCCATCTTTACTGCATCAAAATTGTTGCTTTGATTTCTATTCTCCTTTTCTTTGTACTGCATCCAGTTAGTCGCAAGAGCAATGGGATGCCTCTTTGATCCAAAAGATTTGTGCTGACAGGAGGAAATAAAAAACACCAGATTCCCAACAACACATGATAGTGAGAATATTGCACACTAGTATTCCATATGTCCCTGTGTATAAGTCAAATTTGCACCCCTGAATACCTCCTCCCACCAAAAAAATAAAACAGGTTCCCCACCCACTACTCCATAGGGCATATCACACTATGTTTGGGGATCATCCTGAGCCATTTTAGGGCTAGGAGAGGACACAAAGTCAACAGAAGTAATTTCTTAAGTACTTCCTGTTTCAAATGGGCATCTTCTGAATCTGAATTTTCCCATGAGATGCCAAGAGTATGGCAGAAGTGTGATCTGTGCCTGCTAGATGGCATTTCAGGGCTAATACATTTTATTTATATTTATTTATTTATATACGCACATATATACATACACACACACATACACACACAGAAATTGTTTTTGAGCCCATGAGAGAACTTAGGACCTCCACATGTGGTGGAAATGCCCACCACATTCCCATAAAGGGTATTTGAAATATTGTTGGGTTTTTTTTTCAAACCAATTTTTAAATGATTTTTATTAAAGATTTTAAATAGGGTATACATCAAGAGGGTGTCAATCATGGACATATCTTTTGAATCAAATATGATAATCCAGGGAAGGAGGGTAGGTTTGGTAAGGATTGAGATAGGGAAAGGTGGGGAGAGAAAAGCACAGGAAAAAGGTGGGGGGAGGAGTGTGCAAAGGGACTGGAGGGTTTGGGGAGGGAGAGTTAGTGAGCTAATTTACTGATTATGCCCCCGTAGATAGGGTTAGTGTTGGTGTTATCTTCTTATCTTGTCTCTCCCATTTCTATGCCTGTTTAACATTAAAGTAGTTTTTGACCGGGGACCAGTCTATCTTGTTTTTCTCTGTTGTTTGTGTGTTTTTCAAAAAAACAAAAATTTTGACCCCTGAAGACCACAAAAATGGCCCTGAGGGGCTAAACCTTGCCTTCCCCTGCTGTAAGACAAGCCTCTCTGATCAAGCTAAAGGAGCCATAGCCATGCTTTCTGATAATGGTATTATTCTTATCTTCCATGTAGGTGACTTTGCTGTGCTTCTGAAAGCAGGCATGACCGTGAAGCAGGCCATTGTTTACAATCTCCTGTCAGCCATGATGGCTTACGTAGGGATGCTTATAGGAACAGCCGTGGGACAGTATGCCAATAACATCACCCTCTGGATCTTTGCAGTCACTGCTGGCATGTTCCTCTATGTCGCCCTTGTAGATATGGTAAGAGTCACACCAACCTGTGTTAACTTTGAGAGAGTAGCATATGTTTGCAAATGGCAGTGTTCGGTAATGAGTTCTGTATGTCATGTCCAGCACTGGAGCACTTAGTATACAAGATAACAGACAGCAGTTCTTCCCTATAGTTTCCCACTTTCCTCTGTTGAATTACCTGCAGTTTCTGCCATCTTTTTCTTGCATTGTGGTTGGAGGATTGGTGGGCAACAGTGGGAACTGAAATCCTAATATATCTGAAAGGGTAGATGTTTTTTGAGGGCTGTGAATAAATGTTGCAATTGCAGGTAGACCCAGAAAGGAGGAAGTTGATTATTGTTTTTGTTGCTGTTGCTACTGTTGTTGTTGTTGTTGTTATGTTTATGTTTATACCTCACATTTTCTCACCACACTGATATTAGTGAGGTAAAGAGCAGGGCGCAGTTTCCACGTGGCCCAAGTCGTATGAACTGCACTGCAAAAGGAGAAACTTTTGGAGTGACATGCCTAAGTGATTATCTGAAATGGTGGCCCCCGGATTGTGCACGCTCCCTTCTTGCAGCCCATGCCCTCCTCAAACCAATTTCCCCCTTTTCTTTAACCTATGAGGGAAACGTTTGCCAGGAGGAGGCTGGGGACACATGCCATCTTTTTGTGTTTGCCCCCAACTCAGAGACTTGTTTGCTTTTTCCTCACAGCCACAATGGCTTATGTAGGAATGTTCACAAAAACAGCCATGGGACAGTAGGCCAATGGCATTATCCTTCAGCTTGTTATGTCATAGTAAAGAAAAGAAATTACAAACATTCCAGGATACAGAGTCAAAAGCAGAGCAGATTTATAATTAAATCTTATGAGATGCTGCAGCCATTTTTGTTTCTGTTGCCAGAAGATTGCCTTTCAGCCCTCCATGTGCAATATATATGGAAAATCTGATGCACAGGATTCATAATTAGAGGGTTGCTTAATGTTTCCGCCTGGCCTGTTTGGCAGGAGGAATACATGCCTGTGACTGTATGGAGTGGGACTCCTCCTTTACCAAGGGCATCATTTGCTTGTTTCATCTTTCTGTGTGCACATTTTCCATCTACAGATAATAGCATACAGAATGCTTTCTGCATTATGTCCATAAGCTCCACCTCATTCATCTCAGCTGTTGGCTCAGGGAATTCTATCAGGCTACTTTGCAGGATATGTTTAGTCAAATGCTAAAACACTTTTTATGTATTTACTATCTGTCATTTGTATGAATACTTTTCTGAGGAGTTTTTTTTTCCTTCTGTTTTCCTATTGTGAATTTGTACTGCAAAATGTGGATGACAAAAGACAAGACTGTGATGAGATATATATCTTAGGCCCCTTCCACATGGTGCTTATATCTCATGATCTGATCCCAGGTTATCTGCTTTGAACTGCATTATTTGAGTTTCCAGTACTGTATAATCTGGGATAAAGAGATAATCATAGAATTATAGAGTTGGAAGAGACCTTGTGGGCCATCTAGTTCAACCCCCTGCCAAGAAGCAGGAAAATTGCATTCAAAGCACCCCGACAGATGGCCATCCCACCTCTGTTTAAAAGCCTCCAAAGAAGGAGCCTCCACCACACTCTGGGGCAGAGAGTTCCACTGCTGAACAGCTCTTACAGTCAGGAAGTTCCTCCTAATGTTCAGATGGAATCTCCTGTCTTGTAGTTTGAAGCCATTGTTCCCTTGCGTCCTAGTCTCCAGGGCAGCAGAAAACAAGCTTGCTCCCTCCTCCTTATGACTTCCTCTCACATACTTATTATACATGTCTCCTCTCAGCCTTCTCTTCTTCAGGCTAAACATGCCCAGCTCTTTAAGCCATTCCTCATAGGGTTTGTTCTCCAGACCCTTGATTATTTTAGTTGCCCTCCTCTGGACACATTCCAGCTTGTCAACATCTCCCTTCAGTTGTGGTGCCCAGAACTGGACACAGTATTCCTGGTGTTGTCTCACTATGGCAGAATAGAGGGGTAGCATGACTTCCCTGGATCTAGACACTATGCTCCTATTGATGCAGGCCAAAATCCCATTGGCTTTTTTAGCTGCAGCATCACATTGTTGGCTCATGTTTAACTTGTTGTCCACAAGGACTTCAAGATCTTTTTCACACGTACTGCCCTCGAGCCAGGTGTCCCTCATTCTGTATATTTACATTTCATTTTTTTTCTGCCTAAGTGGAGTATCTTATTATTCTACTCTTTCTTTCCCTTTCAGCTTCCAGAGATGCTTCATGGGGATGGTGACAACGAAGAGCATGGTTACTGTCCGGTGGGACAGTTTATCCTCCAGAATTTAGGATTGCTCTTGGGATTCGCCATTATGCTGGTGATTGCCCTTTACGAAGACAAAATAGTGTTGGACATCCAGTTTTGACCATTTGCGGTACTTAGCTGTGGTTACCACCATGTTACTTACTGTATGGCTTTTCAGTCTGCACTGTTGTACTGTATGCACATTTGTTCCCAGGCAAAGCAGTATGGCGTGCGCTCCTTTACAAGTAACAGTATTCTGGTGTCTGCAGAAACAAGGTCCTGTCTTCCAGCCAAAACAAACATACACACACACACAGATAAACAAAATACTTGGTTAAATGAGGTTCAGCTCCCCAAAGGTAAGATCTAGGCTTGATGTCATTTCTAATCAGTCTATATTGGAAGCAGGAGATCCAAATACAATGCTCAGGATGCTGTTAGCAAATGCATTGGAGGTCCCCCCCCCCCCCTTTGTCAGCTTGCAATTGCACTGTGCTGTCAAAGTCAGATCACTGACAAAGCCTTTTGCGTAATATTTAAGCAAATTATGATGTTTGCTCTCTGCCAAGAGCCAGAGCATGTGTTGCAAGGTGTGGCATCCTTACCAGGTGGTCCATGGGCCCCTGAGCCGGTTCTCAGCCTCCCATCGTGCCACACATACATAAGGCAGCAACAAGAAATCCAGAAATGCATGAGTGTTCTGGGCGGTTAAGGTTGCATTTTCTTTTTAAAAAATTAAAAATGAAGGGTTTTTGAGAGTGTTATTTTTGAATTGCCTTTTGGCCGTATCAAGGGTGCCTCCCTGCTCTGGACGTTGTTTCTCAATAATGTCCAATCAGCTGTTCTGCACTAAACTGAACGGTTGGTGACCAAAGTGAACCCATGTATTCCCATGGATCAAACCCTTCCCTTCGGTTTCCTCGTCTTTTGATTAATCCTTTTAGAGAAGGAATGGGAATTGTGAGTCCTCCAGAGGTTTGTGGACTGCATCTCCCAGCATTCCTCACCATTGCTGCCCAACATCTGGAAGACCACACAATTCCTACCCATGTTCCAAAGGCAGGAAAAGTTGGTTTGTCGAGTCTACAACACGCAGAATCTCCTAGTCAGAAGTTGGGAATGCCAGAAATTAATTTTTCCAAGCTCGGAAGGTCTTGAGCAGTCCCCCTTTCTTTCAGGCAGCTCTGTAGTTTCAGGCAGATACAGGAGCCCCTTCCCCTGGATGTTCCCCTTTTGCTGCATGGATGTCTTTTGGGAGCCCAAGAAAGCGGGCTATGTATTTCTGCCTCCAGCCTTAGAGGTCTGGGTTCCCAATGGTTAGTTGTTTTGGAAGATTTGACAGGCATTAGGTATTAAATGTTAAGTTTGTAGACATTTGTTATCAAAATGCCAAATCTTTAATTCTCTAGTTCTCTCTGGTCCTTTTCCTGCAGTACCATAGTAGTGCTGCCCAAAACCCAGAATACAGAGCCGTTTGCGCTCCCCCCCCCCCCCTCATGATGAAGCACATGTATGGGATGTCTTTGGTCACAACAGCCAAATTTGTTCCTGCATTATATATCCTTAAAATCCAGGCTGAGAAGAGCTGATTCAGTGTTCCTGAGAGGCAGTCCTGGTAGCTGTTTGTTTACCTAATTCCCCAGAACAGTTTTGAATGTATTACATTGAATGCCTTTGCCACCTTTGCTTCCAGCCACTGCTCAGAACTGAGAGTTCGGTAGATAATAAGGCCCATTCTTTGACATTGGCTGTGTGGGCAATTTTTGTTACTTTTTCTTACATGGGGCCTGTTCCTATGTTGCTGCTGCAGTTGGGGTTTTGTTCTGTAAAGTAGGAACCCAACTCACCTAGATGAAAAGGCAAGCCAGGTGTCTTGCCTCTTGAGATGCCATCTTCTGGGGAGCAAAGGTAACCCTTTTACCTTAGTGAGGTCTCCCACGTTGCCCACAGAGGCCCTCTGTTATTGGAGCAGTACAGGGAAGATGTGCACCTCAGGGGAGCAGTCCTTTACATTATAATAGAGCTGTGGTTCTCAACCTGTGGGTCCCCAGGTGTTTTGGCCTACCACTCCCAGAAATCCCAGCCAGTTTACCAGCAGTTAGGATTTCTGGCCATTGAATGCCAAAACATCTGGGGACACACAGGTTGAGAACCACTGTAATAGAACATGTAGACTCACTGTGCATGTAGTTTAGGAGGATGGGCTCAACCAGAAGCCTTAAGCAATGATGAGCTTTAATACTGCATTTTTGGGTGCCAAGCAGCTTGGATGACTGTACTCTGATAGTGGGCACTGATAAGAAGTGCTCACTCTGTCCCTCTTCCTATTTGATGTTTTGATAACACAGCCTAACGGTACTAACCTTAGCACGGCAGTTGGTTTCTCCCAACACTCCACTCTCTCTCTGTTCATCTCGGTACAGGAGCTCATCTGAATAGGTACAGGTTGGCTTTTTTAGTTAGGCTCAGGTCAAGTCACTCCCAAAGACGATCTAGGTTGGAAAGTGGAACAAGGCCTTCATTCCAAATTAAAATCACTTTTTCTTTTGGATCCTTCCAGTTCATTTCTGTTGTCATTCCTTTTAAATATATATAGATATATGTGACTACTGTTGTCTACTTTAAAGGCATGCTAGATGCCTTTTGTTGGGTGTCTTTTTTTGTGGTGGGGGAGGGGGGATTGGAATCGTGTTGAATATTGACCACGTTTTTGACCAGTTAGTGTTCAGGTTCAAATCCAGCGTCCTGTCAGCACAGAGAATTTGCTCAGATCACTGAGAGTCTTGCAATTACAAACACTACACCTTTGCCCTTGCCTTCCTCGCTTGAGAAAGTGGCATTTTTAATGGAGAGAGAGAGAAAAGGATAGTGAACTCCCCTTGAAATCAGTGGTACTTTCTCTTTTCCCTGGATAAGGGGTTCTGACCATCAAATTTGCCAAATTAAACGAAGGGTCCTGGCATTGCTGAAGCAGCTGTTTTTTAGTCAAGATAAATTGGGTGGGTCAGTGGGAGGGAGGGGCGGGGAGATTGCTTTTTAAGGTTTATTTTTGTAATTATGAATGAATCTTTCTCTACTTCAGGTGGTACCTTTCTTCCCATTTTGCTGGCATGTGCTATCGTGTAATGTTGCCTTGTCTAGGGAAACAAAAACTTAATTTGCAGTAATAAGGAGTCTTTTGACCAAGAAAACAAAGCTACACGAGTCAAGCTGAGGCATTGTAGGATTTGTCATTTCCCTTCCAATAAGAGAGTTCCTCATTTGTGTGTTCTGCTTTCCGAAGAGCCATACAGCAACCGTGGCTTCTTGAGTATTGAATTCCCAGGAAATTTCGAAATTTGACTGTTCGATGTCACACTGGGGACAATCGGGATTCCGCTACATTTCTATCTGGCTTCATCATTCCATTCTGCTGAAGTCCAGTCTCATTTAAATATGTACTTGTAGGAGGACATGTATGTTACTTGTATCTTACGATGCTGTCACTGTGTGACATCCCATGTTGATCACACTGCACTCAAATCAGCCGTGATAATTATTGCTTAGAAAATGCTGTAGGTATCTCTAGGAGGCAGTGTGACTTCTTTCCTTACAGTTCAAACAATGTGATTATGGTCCTGAAAGATATTTGAGATATCAGCTGGGGTGGGGTGGGTGGGCCAGGGGCGGGCTTTTTTTTGGTTTGTTTTATAACAGTTTTTTTTAAAAGAAAAACTATCAAGCTGGAAATGATAAAATGCTGTTTTTGTTCATTGTCAACAGTGTTGTGTTCATCTTATGTATGTTCCTTATTCGTAAGGAACACAAGAAAATAAAATTATTGAATAAGCAGCCCTTTCACCTGGTTTTTCCACGGTCTTTTAAACCAAACTTTTTTTTACTGGATTACTTTTATTTACAAACTCAAAAGATACAAATGGTGTCTATTCAAAAACGTCTAAATGTTTGCATTTCTTAAGAAAGTAGCATCTGAAAAATGAATCACGGCAGGGACAAGATCAGAGGCCAGTCTCTGTGCCCAGAGTTATGAATTCAGCTGGCATAAAAGGGCCACCCCTCGCCCAATCCAGTGTTCCTGTGGTTGGTCTGAAGGAAGAATCATGGCAATCACAAAATTGGTGGAGTGGCCCGTAGTGGACAGCGTCCCCCGTCTCTCGCTTGTCTTGTAAACAGGAGCCAAGTAACTGGGCCGTTCAGGGATGTCTGACCGTCTGCAAGGCTTGAGCCACATCTGCATGGAAGGCACAAAGAAGTCATCAGCCATGTTGGATTATGTATGACTACATATGTCAGTGCAGAAAGAGGCACGTATTTTGCATGCATGCCAACACAACATCTTTTCTAAAATGAGTTTAGCACTCTTCATGCTGCTCTGTCCAGTGGCTAAATCCAGTTATTAGTCCCATCTGGATCAAATCCATTGAATCAATTGCCAAATGTTTAAATCCACACTTGTTACCCTGTTCGGCCAAAAGCCATCACAAAATTTTGGAATTCACATTCTAAGATCATTACTGTGACCAAAGGTAAAGGTAAAGATTTTCCCCTGACATTAAGTCCAATTGTGTCCACAACTCTGGGGGTGGTGCTCATCTCCATTTCTAAGCCGAAGAGCCGAAATTGTCAGTAGACACCTCCAAGGTCATGTGGCCAGAATGACTGCATGGAGTGCCATTACCTTCCCATCTATTGATCTACTCACATTTGCATGTTTTCAAACTTCTAGGTTGGCAGAAGCTGGGGCTGACAGCGGAAGCTCATGCCGCTCCCTGGAATTGAACCTGCAACCTTTTGGTCAACAAGCTCAGCAGCTCAGCACTTTAACCCACTGCGCCACCAGGGGCTCCTTTTGGTGGACCCAAAAGACCACCAAAACCATACCTCAGTAGCATCTCAACATAAATATTTCTAAAAAACTGGGAAGTGGAGACTCTGAAGATAGCCCATCGGCTCCTGTTACAGCAGCCTGTCACAAAGCTCCTCTCTGCCAGAAGCAGACTGGATACTTCTATTCTCACTACCCTTCTCCTTTCACCTTGGAAACCCAATCTGGGCCAGGACACTTTGGCTGCATCATGAGCTGTGACAACAGCTCTGTCATTGTAGCTGCATTTCTCTATGTAGAATCTTAGTTTCTATTTATTTACTCCACACTACTAATTTGGTTTGAGTCTAAAACATTTCAGGAGCTAACAATCAGTTCAGACAGGAACATCTATAGTGGAATTACTGGAGCCCAGCATTCAACAGCATGCCAAACTTCACAGGTCGTACTACTGAAATCCATTTTATATCAGTTCAATATTCAGCTGCAAGGCAGGGTAATACTGACTAATAAAAGACTATTAGAGGAAATTACTTTGAAAAGAGTTTGAGCTATTATACCTCCATGAACACACGCAATCTCATTTGATTATAGAAGCTAAGCAACTTCAGATTTGCTTAGTCAAGTAGATTCTCGGTTAACCGGCACCCATGGGTATTGGTAGATGCCAGATAAACTGTTTTGACTTGATATTAATATTGAAATAAAGTAATTAAACAAATTAAGACAATACAAACAATGTAACTGTATTACAAAAACAGCTTTGTGACTGCAGTATTATTTCTATTTTTGCCAGTTGCTTGAGAGTTCTGGTTGCTTGAGTTCTGGTTAACTGAGATTCTACTGTACTTAGATGGAAGATTACCAGGGACCTCCAAGAAATAAACCTGTCTGAAAACTAGAGATGCTACTAGAATACAGGACTAGATGGAGCAGTGACCTAACTCCACATAAAGCCTCTTCTTATGAACTTACATATATGAACCATCCTATCAGCCCAACATCACGCACATAAGAGCATGAGATTATACCCTATGAAAGCAATCCCAAACTTCTACTCAAAAGGAATTATCCATTGAGGGATACATATAGAATTAGAATCTCATTTGAAATGTCCATTTTTAGTGTAAATAAATACTAACCACAGGCATGTTATCATAAAGGATCTTGGGATATGATTCCCCAAGCTTCTTCGTCTTCCTGTTCCAGCGAGCACCATCCAGGAACAAGCCATGAACATAGACACCTACATTTATTTAGAAAGAAAGAAGAAATAGCACACCAAACAGCAAATCAATACAAAGTCCCGACTGGAAGGTCAGAACCATGCTTAACTAGGTAGCTGTCACGATGTTATCAAAGACTGCAACTGGGGCATTGCTTACTGCTACAGTCAGCTGCCATCATTTCCATCGATTCTAGAACTAAAATAGGAACTGAATTACTGGGAAATGCAATGTAGTTGACAGGTGTGAGGAAAGGATAAAAACAAGCTCCATCTTGGGTTGCTGTGAGTTTTCTAGGCTGTATGGTCATGTTCCAGAATTATTCTCTCCTGACATTTCGCCTGCATCTATGACAGGCATCTTCAGAGGTTGTGAGGTCTGTTGGAAACTAGGAAAATGAGGTTTATATATCTGTGGAAAGTCCCAGGTAGTAGAAAGAACTCTTGTCTGTTGGAGGCAAGTGTGCATGTTGCAATTGGCCACTTTGATCAGCATTGAATGGCCTTACAACTTCAAAGCCTGGCTGCTTCCTGCCTGGGGGAATCCTTTGTTGGGAGGTGTTAACTGGCTCTGATTGTTTCATGTCTGGAATGTCAAAAAATGAGAATTTCAGACATGAAACAATCAGGGACAGCTAATACCTCCCAACAAAGGATTCTGTGTAGCTATGTGATACCAGTGTTAAATAACCTTACAAGTGGGTATCTATGCTACATTGAAATTATTATTATTATTATTATTATTATTATTATTATTATATTTAAAACATTTATATTCCGCCCTTCTCACCCCAAAGGGTGAGCATATATACAACAAACATTCAATGCCAGGACACACATTCTTATATGCATACATAAACATTAAAATCATTTATCAAAATGTTAAAATACACCATTTAAAACCGTCCTAGTCATCCACGTCAAATCTAATTGGCCTGGTAATCTTTCCTATTGCTGATTTATTGCCTTGTCCCGAAAGCTTGGTCCCACAACCAAGTTTTTATCATCCTTCTAAAGGACAGGAGGGAGGGGGTTGACCTGATCTCAACAGAAAGGGAGTTCCATAGCTGGAGAGCAATCACCAAAAAGGCCCTGTCTCTCGTCCCCACCAATCGCGCCTGTGACAATGGCGGGATGGAAAGCAAGGCCTCCCTGAAGGATCTTAATATCCGCGATGGTTCATAGGGAGAGATGTGTTCGGACAGGTAATTTGGACCGGGACAAGATCTCAGCCGCAGTTCACACAAAACATGCACAACACAGACTTCTCTACCGTTAGCACATTAGAAATGAATCCAATCGTCCAGTAAACCACTGTGTGGTGACAGGTTAGTCTTATGGGTGCAGGCCATGAATCCCTTGTTACTAGGGGTAAAATGGGATAAGATCCTTAAAGGGATCCCCAAATCATACCAAAAGGTATGCAGGTTCCATTGTCTGCCAAAATAGATCTCGCCCAATGCCCCAAAACCCCATGGAATTAGAGCAGATTTCCTTATGGCTAAAATAAAATAAACCAAGTAACAAGAGCCTCAAACATCTAAAGATTAAGAACATTTTGTAAGCACACCACATTAAAAAAAACCTGAAGGTGCAAGCAACTTACTGCCAGTTGAATGAGGACATAATAACAGGAAAGAATATACAGGCTCAAATCCTTGCTCAGCATGAAGCTCTCTAGGGCCCCTTCCACACAGCTAAATAAAATCCCACATTGTCTGTGTTGAACTGGGATATATGGCAGTGTGGACTCA